ACCTTCCTTGGCGTCGATCTTCGTCGACCGCCAATCTTATTTTGCGGCTTCGATCGTCGTCGACAGCCGACCTTCTTCCGCAGTCCATCGATCTTCACAAGCTCCAGGCTCTGATACCAACTGATGTAGTGGATCGTCGGAAGATGATACCTGCAAGAAGGATTTTAGGATTCCCAATCCAGGAAAGAAGAAGAAGAGAGCTTCACAAGCTTCAAAGGGATGTATATATCATTAAATTCCTTTCTTCTTCTACAAGACCTCCTACTTATGAGAGCAAAAGAGTATTCTAGAACAAAATGGATAAAGTATTCCTAAGGACTATCCTAGCTTAAAATGCACCGCATCACCTATTTCTATTGCCATGAATTGCTCAGGTGGCTCTCAGGCCTGTGAAGTTATTGTGGGAGTGGACCCTCTATCTGTGGACCCTGGCTGTACGAGTTTAATAGTTCCTCTTTGCGGTGTGAATTATGTAGGTACTCCTTTATTTAATGGTGGTGTGGAGTCTTCGGAGGCTATCTAAGTTTCTTCAACTGATGGTGGGGATGTTAACTCAGGTGAGGTTGATGTGGTTCATTGTTCTGGGGGTGGTGTAACTTCGCTAGTTGACGTGCCTATTTCGGTCATTTCTAATGCTAACTTACAAGCCCACCTAGCTAGGAATAGTGTCAGGTTGCAATGTGATTGTTGGTTACACGATGATTTGCTATCTGAAGGGAGGAAAATTTTGATGATGGTTTGGAAACTGGTTTGTTAGATATTGTTATTAGAAATCGTAAACGGAAGTCGAAAAAGAAATGATTTACTGGGCCTTATTGTTTGGTTTTTTTACGATTTTGGCTGCCTTCGTTGGTTTGGATATGGACAATGCGGAAGCAGTTATTCTGCATGCACCTGTGATGGCTAGGGCTAGGCAACCGTGGTGATATTGCTTTTTTGTATCCTCACTGGATGGCCCTCACTTGCAACTGTGTGTCGGTCTGAGTCCTTGTGGATCCTTTTTTATTTTGGTTTTTTGCTGATTATAACTCTACTGATGTGGCCTGGTCGGGGTCTTGTGGTGTAACCTTTTTTCTTTAATGTCATTTTTATTTTGTAAAAAAAGAAAAATAATAAATAAACAATAGTCAGTCGTTCATATTGTAGCATTTTTAGTCGATTGAACGATAATATGTCGTAATGAACTGTCATTTGTAAGTAAAAATATTTTCAAATTCCGATTAAGATAAAAGCTGTTGAACTGCCCATTTTTACTCAATCTCACATTGAAGTTCTCATAACTTGTGAAACAGAAGAAGCGTTGGACGCATGCTACTTGTGATGCATCTATTGTACCCCCAAGAAGGAAATAAAATGGTACAATTGATGGAAATTATCAGTCAAACTTTTGTTTTGAAAATTTTAAAATTTTCAAACCAGACAAGACAATGTTGTCGAGCACGCTTATATAAGTCTAATCAAATTAATCTAAAAGTAAGCACCATCAATTGTTTTCATAACTGCGTGTAATTTGAGAATCTAAATGTAATTGATGTTGTCGCCAGCCTGCTTAACTTTCATCAACATAATATTTTCGCAATTTGACTGAGATGAAAAGCCTTATAAAGTTAAGGGTTGAAATCACTAAGAGAAAAAAATTGACCACCTGAAGCAGCAATATCAAAACCTTCCTACTAATTCCTAATTACATATATGTAAAATAATTATTTCACATTGTTCTAAACCGATGAAATAGTCTGAATAGAAAATATTGATTAAATTTATAATTCTATAGTTTGCCTTTGTGCAGGGATGGTTTTGAAAACAGCATTCGCATTGAATTAGGGCAGTAAATTTTTTCAAAACTTCCACCAAAATGACTTATTTATTTGCTTGTAAATATAAATTATATTTTTCTTAAGCTAAAAATTTTATATTTATTTATTTATAATGCAAAATAAAATTATTTTTTAAAGAGAATTTAAAAAAAAATTAAAATAAATATTAATGTTAAATACATCAAACTCAAATAATGGTGAATTTTAATTGATAAATATTGAATAATTTTTTTTACCATGTCTTTAAGAGTTTTTTTTTTATAGTTTAATGTAGTATGTTAGTAAGTTTGTTTGGTGGCATAATAAAAAGCCAAGTAAAGCTTGTTTTTATTTTCTAGATTTTATCTATTGGTTAATGTATTTAGCATAGTGATATTAGTTGCTGCTATTTTTTAGGGGATAGTTATTACTATGTCATTATAATAACTAAATTAACTAAACTATATAATTATATTATATATTTTATTATAAATATTTAAAATCACTTAACTTAATCTATTAAATCCTTTTTGCACTTCTTAAATCGGCTAACAAATTAAGACCGGAAGAGAGAATTTAGTGAGAAAAGTGATGAGATAGAAAAAAAAAATTTTAGATTTGGATGTTATCGAGTTACGGTCAGTCCTATTGAGAGATTTGGTCGTCTCATTGTAAGGAACAATTATTCTATTTTTGATTTTAATAATTTTGTATTTTTTGTATTCTTTGATTAAATTTTTATTTAATTACTGAAAAATGAGAATAATTTTATATTGGTAAAATTTTCATCATATAACTTTTGATATGTGATAGATGTTGTTAATATGAGCATTTTGAGTGAACCTACTTTTATTGGTTAAATTAAAAGTTTAAAAGTCACCATATAACTTTTGATTGCTTAATTAAAAAGATAAAATAAATAATTCCTTAAAAATTAAAAAATGGGACATTACAATTTGTATGAAAAATGGCGTTGAAAGAATTGACATATGACAAGAGTTTTAGGAATTGATTATGACTGGGGTAGAAGTTGGATATTATAGATTTTTATTTCTACGTTTGATTAATTGAATTGCATATGCATGTTTGTATCTTAAGCTTTTGCATTATTGATTATGAAAGAGAATTTTATTATTGGCTAGAATGACCCTACTAATAAGGAAGTACATAATGAACATAGTGCAAAAGTAGCTCTAGTGAGTTTGGACAATTTGATGCTTAGCAAGCATGCTTGCATAGGCTATATGTGATGCTCAGAATAGACATGTGGGACACAAGGAGACAGGGGGATATGCATCTACAGATATTCTATAAGTTGAAGCCTCTGTTGTTCAAGGGAGCCATAGAGTCACATATAGTAGAGGACTAGTTGTTGAGGCAAATAAAATATTTGACAACATGTAGTGCCAAGAAAATAAAAAATGATCACTTAAAGTATTCCTATTTGAAGCAGAAGCAGAGATATGATGGATATGATAATAGCATGAGAAATTTTAGGGTAAGATGAATATAGAGATTAATTGTTGGGTAGATTTTATTGTTACTTTTGCAGATTGGTTCATACCTCCGTCAATCTGACAATAAATGCATGAGACTTTCATGAGATTTGAACAAGTGAACAAAATAGTGATGCAACACGAAATTGAATTCACTGCATTGACAATTCAATAAGGAGAGCCACTTCTATCAATTGTGATCATAGGCGGATCCACCAAGGAGTGAGGGTGAGCACCCTCAAAATTTTATTTTAAAATATATAGATGGGATAATTTGAAATATTTTGGGTATTCCCCCCTCAAAATATTTTTTGCCATAATTTTATCAATCCTAAGCATTTTGTCCATCCCTAAAAAAAATGTTTTTTTTCTCAGCCTAAAAAAAGAAGCTGGATCCGCCCCTGATTGTGATCAATGGCAATTCAGCAATAAAGCTCCTGAAAAATTTGACCTTATATGAAAGAAGCAAGCATATAGATGTGAAGTTTCATTTTATAAGGAATCTCCCAATTGGTGGATTTATTGATCTCTATATTGTAGAAGTGAAACTCAAGTTGTAGATATTCTTACAAAGTCTTTCAAGCCGGCTGCATTCCCAAAATTTAAGAAGATGCTTGGTGCTGAAATACTTATTAATTTGAATGTTTTCAAACATTCAATTCAAGTGAGGAATTGTTGAATAAAGTCGTTCTTCCCGTTAAAAAGGAAAATTTTCCTTCTTCGAAAAAAAAAAAGAAGTTGTTCTTACCGTGTCTTTAAGAATTATTTTGTGTTTCCTATTTAATGAAGTATATTATTAGTTAGTTTGTTAGTACGTAGTGTTTTATTTGCTGATTAGCGGTAGAATGTCTGCTAAATTCTATTCCTATTTTCTAGCTTTTATTTGTTGCTTCAGGTATTCAGTGTAGTGGTATTAGTTGCTGCTATTTTTTTAGGAGATAGTCGTTGGTGTAGTTGCCAATATTTTGTACACTGACTGTGATGTGCTATCTTTTGTTAAAAGTTTTTTTTTTTGATATTGTAACTAATATATATGTATACATATACAATTCCTCAAAAAGCAATTTATAGATTTTATGTTTCAAATTAAGAGTTTTGTACGAGAAAAGCAGCATTTTTTAATGAATTAATATAACATTCAAATATTCAAATCTAGAGCAATTGTTATCATTTGCTGTGTTAATTTTCGACCAAATTAAACCATTTTAATATCTTTGTAACTAATCTCAATTTCTGTCTAACAAAATTCAGAACCTACATAAAAAAGAGCCAAAGGAGATCGAGCTCAACTGAAGAATTTTTAAGCAATAATAAAATCTCTTTTAAACACAATTTTTTACAAGAAACTGCTTTGCTATATTTCACCTCACATAAGCTGAACCACCAAAACTATATTCATGCTTGCGTTGCGTGTAATGTGAAAGTGCGCTAAAATAAATTTTGGATGTGAAATACAAAATTTTAAAATATTACAACATAATCATAAATAAATTAGAAAATAACAAAAACGAGTCTTCAAATGTGAATATGATCTATTTTTAATATTTAAATATCTATATAATATGTTTTTAAAATTTTGCCTTGAAAAAAATCACTGTCCATGTCGCATATTCGCCTATTCGGCTTGTCGATTCCTGGCCTGAGCTCGGCACTTGTTGTCACTATAAATAACGCATTCTCAGATTTCTTCCTCACTGCAATTGTAAAATAATTTCAGCTCCCAAGAAATCTCCTTGCCTCTCGGAACTGTCAAAGAAGGCCAAAGCAGGGCTGAAAAACATAAATTGAAGAAGAAACTGTTCAAATCATGGCGCTCCGCAAAATGCTTTCCGGGCGCTTCGTCCATTTCACCAAGTATTCCTCCACTCGCGCAGCCCACCCTCCTCCCTCGCCAGATCTCCGGAGGCTCCTCCCCGGCAGCACAACCGCCGGCACCTCGAATCGCCGGATCCTTCTCCAGCGGCGATCAATCTCCCAATCGGGGGCGGCCGTGCTGCCGACATCCATTCGGAATCCTCTCCCTGTTGGCGATAATCTGATCGAGCGCATCCGATCATCCATGATGCAGGATCGAATCCGGATTGACTCTTTCGTGCCGCCGTTGCATGTAAGGGAGGAGGGAGGGGAAATGTCCAAAATGGTGATTTCTGTGGCGGATTTGAGAAAAGTGCTCAAGGCGTCGCAGATCGAGGCTGCGAGGGCGAAGTTGAGAGGCATTCCGAGCAGCTATGTGGGATATTCGGAGTTTGCCGAGATTTGCCGCGAGGCAGCCGTCGGATCCGACGAATGTGCGCAGGAAATCGCGGCGGCGCTCGACCATTCCGGCGCTGTCATCGTCCTTGCAGATGTCGTCTTCCTTCGCCCTGAGCAGGTAATTCTTCCGTCAATACGGCCCTTCTCTTTCCTCTGCAAACTGGTGGAACGTAATTCCGCCTTTTAATATCTTGAATCCATCGAAGGCTTACATTTTTATATTTATTTATGTGGCAGTTTGGTATCTTAATTACATCAAGCAATTTCGAACTAAATTGAATTAATTTCAAACGAGTCCTCCCTCTACAATTTTAAATGTTTAAAACTAAAATGATGGCTGAAGATAATTTTGCAAAATATAATCGATTAATTAATTTGTTCTTCGCACGCACTCAGCTTGCTCGGGCAATTGAGAGCGTGATCACTCCGCAACCGCAGCCCATCCCGCGCGTGGCTGATGATGTACGATCAAACGAGCTGAAGGAGATGGAGGTTGAGAAGGCGGCAATAGATAAGAAGGCAGAGGCCCAGGTGAAGAAAGAACTATGGGCTGGGCTGGGCCTTTTGCTTATCCAAACTGCGGGCTTTATGCGACTGACATTCTGGGAGCTTTCATGGGACGTGATGGAACCCATCTGCTTCTTCACAACGTCCCTCTACTTCATGCTGGGCTACGCCTTTTTCCTGCGCACCGCCAAGGAGCCTTCCTTTGAAGGCTTCTTCTCAAGCCGCTTCGCAGCCAAGCAGAGGCGGCTCATGAAATCGCATGGCTTTAATTTGTCAAAATTCAACGAGCTCAAAAGCGTTAATTCCCAAATTTGCAACGCCTCTTCTTCTCACTTGTAAACGAACCAAGTTTGATCTAAAAGTCAACTGTTTGACATTACTTTTGCTTCTTCTTTTTTATTCTAAAATTTTGGATAAAGCATATTTGATAAATGTTTCTAATCTCTTAAATAAATTATGTTATTTTTAAAAATATTTAAAATTAGGTTTAAGTATTTTGAGTTCAATATATATTCGCTCTGCCACCCAATATAGTACATGGCTTGACTCACAACCTAATGAATTGGTGTCTAAGTCACTGTCAGCTCCATTTGGCCCTGCCTTCGCATTATTTATAGTTCTCAGCAAACATATCGTCTTTGTAATAACCTCTCCTACTTGGGACAAATTTTTAAAATAATATCATTTAAAATTTATTTTCATCAAAATGAACTAAAATATAATAAATTTAAAAGTAATATCAGTCGTTCGTTGGCTATTGAACTGACGGGTGAGCTAGCAAGCTGAGTTGGTGAACCACATCATATCATTAGTTGTGCTAATAACTAGATACTTTATTACTTTTATATAATCGGAATTAGAAAAAAAAAAACCTTAACAAGAGAAAAACAAATAGTAAAATTAAATTTATTTCAAAGTTTTTAAATTTTTAATAGTATCATTTATAAAAAAAAGAAAAAAATATCATTTATATAGAACACAAAAAACGAAAATAAAATTAAAAAAGGAACAAAAAAGAAAGCACCAAGGCATTAGCTCTCTTAACTGGTTATTTTTTCTCTCTGAACTTTTATTTTTTGGTTTTTTATGAATATATATAAATTTTAAACGATTATTTTAATAAAAGGAAAAAAAAACTAAAAAATGAATTAAAAAAAGAAAATTAAATTATAATGATTTATTTTTAAATGATATCAATTTAAAAGAGAAAAAACTAACCAGTCGTTGATTTTATTTTTCATTTTTTTATAAGTATATATAAATTTAAATTAAACTATATATTTATAAATCATACTTTTATTTTTTTGGAAATTTGGGGCCTAAGCCCATATATTACTAAGATATGAAAAGATTACAAGTAAAGATGAAAACAAGTAAATCTATCCTACATAAGCAAAGAACAAAAACTTATGTAAGGCCCATAAAAAAACCACAACTATACCACCAAATACATTGACAGATAACAAAGAAAATTAAACAAAAGTAGAGCTGCTATTATAAAAATGAGCTCCCAAATCCAATTAGTAGATTCCCACGAACAGAGAGGCAGATAGGGACCAAAACGTGCACAGCCAGCACTAGAAGAAACATCTACCAGACAGATAAATCCTGGAGAAAACCGTCACACCTGCGCCAGCCGAAGGAAGAAAAAAGGGGAACCAAAAGATCCAAAAACCTGCATCACCAAAAAACGTAACATGCTCCCAAGCCTGCATGCCTGGACTCAAAATAAATACCAAAACACCAACAAGAACACCTCCCTGGTTGCCCGAAGACCATCCAAGGGATCAGCATAGTGAGCTTCATCATTATACAGACAAGGCCAATAGCAGAAGATCAAATCCAGCAAAATGTGATAGAATTACAGCACCCCGAACAGCAACAGTCGTTATAAACGTTCAAGCAAATCCATGGAATTTCCCCAACTCATTGCTTTCTCAAAAATAACTCTTGTGATAGATAACAAAAGGGATGTATAACACAAAACTTTGTTCCCAAACCGCCTATTATTCCTTTCTTTCCAGATGAAGTAAATCACATAGCAACATACCAAATAGTAGAATTTTAGCACCACAGGTTTACCTTTAAATGCACCCTTCATCCAATCAAAAACCTACAAAATATTGGGCCGGAGGAGAAAACTTTGCATACCCGGTATTAGAGCATAGATGATATTGAAAGAATAGCTACATTCAAAAAAAAATGTGAAACAGATTCATCATGTTCGTTGCATAAGCTGCATGCCTTTGAAACCTGAATGTTCCTAAGAAGAAGAGCAACTACCGTCTTAAGACCCCCACATAGAGCAAGCCAAACAAAAACCGAGTGTTTGAGAGAGTGCCTTTTGTGCCACACCATGTTATACCAATTGCAACCAGAAATCCCCTCATAATACTCATCTAAAAAGTGTTTAAATTTGAAAATATTTCTGTTTTTTCATAGCAAACAAATTCCAGCACAGCCAATTTCAGTAATATTCACAAAAACATCCAGCAGCCTTTGGGGAAAAGTCTCAGGCAACATCCAGCAATTACCAGACATAATATCTTCCAGCATAATATCGGGAAAAGGAGCAAAAACATCCCCTCCAAGATGTTCTTGAATAGTGCCATTATTATACCAGTGGTCCCAAAATATAGAAATAGGAGCATTTTGCGTAATTTTGAAGTTAAAGCAAGCTTTAGCCCTCTGAGCAGTGATATAGATTTCTTTCCAAAACTTATGTCGCCCACCTATTATAATCGTTCTGACCTCCGTCGCCTGCCGACTATGTTTCTTTCGACTTACATCGTCCACCGACTATGGTCCTTCCGAGCTCTGTTGCCCGCCGACTATGATCCTTTCGACTTATGTCGCCCACCTACTACAGTCCTTCAGACCAAACAAACAAATCAATAATGATTCTTTGTATTTCCACAATGTAATGTACTCTATAAGATGTACATCAAGCTAAGGTCTTCCCCCTATGAAGGGCATCATTTGTAATCAACTGCAAATACTAATGAATTCATTCAAATTGGGCTAGGCCCCGTGGTTTTTCCACCTTTTCAGGGGTTTTCCACGTAAAAATCTTGATGTCCCTATAAATGACGTCTTACATGTGTTCATGCTGGATGTTCGTACAAAGTTAAGAAGTTAAACTTTGTATGTTTCTAACGCTGCGAATACCCAGGACGCAACAGGCTTACTGGGTTTTTTTTAGAGAGATTTTGGGAAGTAGAAAGTATTTCATTTTCAACGACCCGGTGAATGCTAGAAAATATGATATTATCATTACTGAGAAATGGAGTCTTTCATGTCAGTTTTCCTTGATTGAAGCTTGTTGTTTCAATCTTATTATGGTTGTCTTCCTAATGATGGGGATATACCACTTCGGAATGGAAAACATAATTTCTCCTTGATTAGTAACATGAATGTGAAAGCACTAAAAAAGTCATCCCAAATGAAATTTTAATCTCACATACAAGATCTTCATTTATCTAAATTTGTGCGATATGGATAATTTTCCCTAAGATGTTATATTAATTTATACTTAACCGTTGTTTATGAATGATCTTAAATTATAAATACATGAAGGGGATTCATATCAGTGCCACCTATGATCTCTGCTCTACGATACCTATTCTTTGGTTTTCTATTATTAGTATTTGACAGAGTTGAACCCCTTCTTATTTAGACGATATTCCCCAGAAAAATCGCGAATCCTCCGCATTTCACCTTCTTCTACTGATGAATCAGGGAGCTTCCTGCACCTACTCTCAGCAGTTCTTGCTCTAACCCGTTGCCTCATCACTGTAAAACAATCTTCCGGTTCCTGGTCAGGGTCACTCAAGTTATCGATTTCTAAATATTCGAACGGACTGAAATCGAGAGTTGAAAAGGTAAATTTCTGAAGAATCTTTTGCTAGCTGCACCGTCTTTCGTATTAGCTTAATTCAAAACAATGGGACGAAATATATTCTTGTGCGATTCCTCTCGAAGCTGAAGTAGTTCTTGTGGGAGAAGAATTAACAGCAGCTCATACTCACGTAGTTCTTCATCGGCGGCCGCCACATCCGCAAGCTGAAGAAGCAAGTAGCGGGCTTCTTGATCTGTCATGCCTCCAACGATAAACCGCCACGGCTGCTACCCTGGCTTCTCGCTCGATTTGACACTGCGTGAAATCTAATTAACTTCATCCGATACTCTTCACTAACCTTTCATTTTATACTAAATCTGCATTTGAATTACAATTTTCAAGCAAGTCATGTAAGATATATATATATATATGTATTTAATTTTTAAAATATATTATAAATAAATATTATAAGAATTCAACAAATGTGAATCCACTTGTGCAATATGAGAGATTTTAATTTTTTCCACATTATTTTAAAATATAATACATTGTATGAAAAAATTATTAAACTATCATTTAAAGCTTATAAAATATTTGTAAAAAATTAGATACGATTTTAAATTAAAATTAATAATTTGTTTTCATATTCAGTTTAATAGAAAATTGACATCTAAATATTTTTTTTCTACTAAATATATATACAATAGTATCAAAATAATAAGATATTTATACAACTGCAACACAACAGCTCGATAATTTACTTTTCAAAAAAAAATAAACTAATTTTATACGGCAACCTCATAAAACAATTTTCTATACAATAATTTCACAACTTATTTTATCAAACGCCAAACTAACTCTTATTCTAAGGGAGGGAGCCTACATATACACTTTTAAGTTATATATATATATATATATATATATATGTACAACTGCCATGCGGCGCGTAGTATCCACAACGGTGACATCAGCTTAGGCGCATAAAAACGGCTTTACATTTATTTGTTATGGATCCGACAGATCGTCTTAAATTCAAAATTACCTAACAGATATAACCCAAATGAATTACGCAAAACTCAAAAATACCACATCAATCAAAGCTTCAATTAATTGCCAATATGCGTTTATTTTGCATACTTATTAGTAGTTACAAGCTACAAAAATGTCATCAACAAAAACTAAAGCAGAACATAAATTTCAACAACTGCTGAAAGAAAATAAAAAAGGAAAAAAAAAAAACTAAATAAAATGATATAACTTCACAATTCTTTCTTACTACAGATCAAGGCCTGTAGAGAGCCTAAAATTGGAGTTGGTTGAATATCAAAGTGGGTGATATATGTAAGGTAAACAGCACTAATAAGAACATATATCTTAAACCAGAAGGCCGAGAAAAACGTAAGGTATATAAATACGCATGTAAGGAATAACATGGCAGCAACTTTTACCAGGCATGAAAACGTTGAGAGATCTCCTTCAGTCCCTTCATCTGGAAAACAACCAAGATTGGTAAAGTCGGTGAGAAGTTGGTCTTTGATCCTAAACCTCTCAGTCAACCATACAGCAACATCATTCTCAGATGCTGGAATCTCATGTGGTGAGAACCGTCGAATATGAATATGGACCTCAAGCGGATCAACGCCAAAGGCATTATCCAAAAAGGTTGGGCAGCGATGCTTGTATGCGATACTTATATCATAGACTGCATAAGATAAACAAAATTGGGGACATCAGATACAAATATAAAGAGATGTCATTTTCAAGAATTGTTTAGGCTGTTTGGAATAATAAATGTTGTTTGATCAGAGAGAGTCATTCAGTACAACAAATTGCATAATAGAACTATTTGATGGGATGAAAGTAAACCACCGTAATGAAATAAACAAGAAAATAGAAACAATGGAAAGTAAAAGACACCATGATTAAACGTGGAAAACTCCGAAATCGAGAAAAAAACCACGGAGCCACATCAAACAAAAAAATCTACTATAAAAATGGGGAGAAATAAGTACAGATATCTCTTCTGGCTCGCCCTCTCCTTGCTTCTCAACTCTCTTACATTGTTCTCCCCACAAAACACAAGAGAAAGTCAAGAAAATAACACCAAGAGATGCCACCATTCGAAAAAAATGAGAAAGAAAACTATTCAGTCCGCCTTGAAGCGCTGTGTCACTCAAGTTTCTATCATCATGACGCTGTGGCGCACAAACACGCAACGCTGTGGCACTACACAACGCTACGACACTCTTCTCTCTGTTGTTTCTCCCAACAAATTTTGCAGCACCAGGTCGCTTGGGAACACGGTGCCGGGGCGCTTTGCTACATATAGCGTCAGGGCACTTGGTTAAACAGCGTTGGAGCATTGTACAAATTTTTTTTTCTCAAGTGCTAAAAAATCCGTCCCAAACACAACTTAAATTTTTTTCTAGTAGGAGCAAGTAAAAAGCACTACAACAATCAAGGAAAAACCAAAATAAATATCCATTTGCCTTATTCTTTGAAGAAGAAATATCACAACAGCAGAGAGTTTTAATTCCTCTCCAAACTAAAACAAAGTGGCATTTGATAGATCGGTCACTGAACCGGTCCAACCGATCCAGCAGCTTTAGTCTACCAGAGACCGAAAAGATGTTGCACCCATTGATGCCACCCTCTTCAGGGTGGGGTCCAATAGAGAGAATTAAGGGGTTTAGGAGAAGGGAGGGACTATTTTGGAAATTTCCTTCATGATTGTATGCTTTAAGTAGAACTTTTTTCCTAGGGTTAGGGATCTTTTGTTTGGCTGAATTTAATTTTCTCTTTTGTTATTTGGGCTCTAGCAGGCAGCTAGAGATTGTGAGAGTCGGATCTTCCTCTTCAAATTAAAGATACATTGTATCTTGTTTGTTTTCTTCCCTAGTTCATCTATTATAAAGGTTTTCTTCCATGTTTGGCACGTTGTTCTTCTTAACCGTTGTTTTTCTCTTTACTGAAATTCAATTTCAGACAACCCTTTTCTTGAATTTATATAAGTATTTCCTAACAAATTAATATCAGAGCATCGATTTGGGGTACGTATGGCTGAAAGAAAAGTAGAAGTATTGGAATAAGAGATTGGCCAATTAAGATTAGATTTTGTGAAAAAAATTTCAAAATTTGAAAATCAATTAACATTCGTCCATAAAAAGATGGATGGAAAGTTTACTGTCGTTGAAGAAATGCTGAGGAAGTTGCTTGAGGCCCAACCCAAAACGATGTCATCGGAGGCGAGGGGAGACACCAACGGCCAAGGGAGTCGTGGAAACCCAAACCTGATGAGGAGAGAAGAAAATCAAGAGGTGGAAATTTTAGATGGAGAAGATGGGATGCCTCCCCTAGAACCTATTAGGGTTTAGGAGATAAGTAGTGGGTATAAGCGAATGGGTTTGATTTTGCAAGAAGATGGGCTGAATATGAGAGTAGGGGTACTTATTTTGAAAGAAGGGGGGATTTTGAAGGAGGGTACGAGTACGAGCATAGAAGAGAGAATCCATAACCCCACGGGAAATGAAAGTTATGGAGGAATCGGGAGGGACGGAGGCAATCTGCTGGTAGGGAGAGGATGCACATGATTGGATCTACAAGGAAGAGAGATGTTTCACCGTCAATGGGTTGACAGAGGAGTGACTAACAACAGCTGGCCTGTGTTTGGAGGGAAAGGCATTAGCATGGTACAAGTGGAGTGACATGAGACGACCAATAGGGAGCTGGAGGGAGTTCAAAGACTGCTTATTCGAATGATTTAGAACCAGCCGGGGAGGAGATTTTTATGAGTAGTTCTTCGCATTGATGCGGGAAGGATCACTGGAGTATCGTGAGAGATTTGAGTACCTGTCTAGTCGATTGGACTGGCTCTTTGCGATTGTACTAGAGGAGAATTTCATGAAAGGACTCAAACCAGATATCCGGACGGCAGTTAGAGTGATGAGACCTCATGATTTGGGAGAGGATATGAAGCTATCCTAGGTAGTGGAAGATTAGAAGCACTTAGAGAAGAGAGCCAAAGAAAGCAGTTCAAGAGGCTCGTACCGGATGACTATCACATTTTTAGCACCCAAGCAGCAAACACTAGGTAGCCTTCAAGAGATCTCAAAGGAGAAGCCAATGGAAGGGGGGATTAAAGGAAACTTCAAGAAGCTCACAAGAAGGAGCTAAAAGAGAAGAGGACAAAGAGATTGTGCTTCAAATGTGATGAGAGGTACACACCAGGACATAGGTGTAAGGACCGAACTCTTTAGGTTCTCACCGACTATAATGATAAAAAAGCTGCGGGAGGTGATAGTTAGGCACTGGGAGAGAAGGAAAAGCTACATCTAGATATAGCATATGTCTCCTTGAACTCCGTGGTGGGGTTCACTCCAAACCTCACTATGAAAGTGAAGGGAGAAATAGCAGACATGGAGGTGATGGTGTTGATAGACAATGGGGTTACCCACAATTTCATCTCCAACCAGGTCGTACACCAATTGGGTGTGAGACTGGTGGATACAGGTTTCTATGGAGTGATGATGGGCATTGGGAAGGTGGAGATCGGTAGAGGAGTGTGTAAGGAAGTTGTTCTAACCATATGGGGGGTCTAGGTGAGAAAGAAATTCCTTCCATTGGAGTTGGATGGCACTAATGTCATTTGGGGTTAAGTGATTACAAACATTGGGGGATACCAAGGTTAATTGGGAACACTGACAAAGGAGCTGCTGGGAAGGGAAGAAGGGTGATGATTTGCGGTGATGCGAGCTATCCAAAGTCATGGTGTCACCAATGTTTAAAATTACGTATTCGGGTATTGAGGCATTTTTCATTCGTGAGGCGAGGCGTAAGCCTCAAAATCAAAAAATTGCATAAACATAAAATTATAAATTTGTTATATACTAATAAGTGAATAATATAAAACATAAAAAGCATAAGATATGAAGTGAAATCAAAATATCTCAATAATATTTTGTAGCAAAGACAACATGAAATATAGTTCAACTCAAAATTCTATCTTTCCGAAATCCCAATATTCTTTTCATTAGCATATAATTCTAATTTCCAAAAATAAATAGCAATGACATATCACATAAGAGCTCATATGTCATCAACACTGTCATCACTAAGGGGTTCTTCATTTGAATCATCGTTATGGTGAACTACTCTCTCCCATTCCTTCTCTCCTATAGAGTCCAATGTCAGGCATTTACTTCAAGATTTATGTAAGTTTTAATATATATAGCATGAGGCGTAAGCTTCATGCCAGTAAGGCGAGACGGGCCTCAACCAAGTTGAGGCACAAGCCTCATAAAAAAAACTCGAGGCGTAAGCATCGAGGCGTTTTTTATTAGAATTGCGCAAAGGCGGGCCTCAAGGAGAGCCTCATATTGCACAATTTTAAGCCATGGGTGTCACTCAAAGCCATGGTGAGGACCATACAGGAGATGAGGGGAGGATTTCTTGTGGAACTACAAAGCTTAGAGGGGATCAAATTGGTGGAAGAGGGGGGATACATTCCTACTTTAGTACAGCCACTTATATAGCAGTTCAGTGAAGTCTTTCAACCACCTCAGGGATTGCCACCACCGAGGGAGCATGAGCACGTCATCATCTTGAGGGAGGGTGTGTCGCTGATTAGTATTAGGCCTTACCGCTACCCTTAGATACAAAAAAAAAATGAGATTGAGAAGCTGATCCGAGAGATGTTAAAGGCAGGGATCATCAGACCGAGTGTGAGTCATTTTTCTAACTCAATCTTACTGGTCAAGAAAAATAATGGGAGCAGGAGATTTTGTGTGGACTACCAGCATCACCAAGAGCTTAGAAGTGTTGCAGAAGAACTAGCTGAGGGCCAACCAAAAGAAGTGTTGTTTTATGTAGTTTAGAGTGGAATACTTGGGGCACGTATCCAAAAGGGGGTGTCTACTGATTAGGCCAAGATTTATGCAATGTTGAAATGACTTCGACCTAGGAATCTGAAGAAGCTGAGGAGTTTCCTAGGGTCGGCTGGGTACTACAGGAGATTAGTGAGGGGATACACCAACATATCCTGGCCCTTGACAGAACAACTGAAGAAGGATAGCTTCCTGTGGGGAGAGGCGACTACCCAAGTCTTTGAGAGATTAAAGAAGGTCATGACCACAAGACCTTTATTGGCCCTACTAGATTTCAGCTAGATTTTGTAGCAAAGACTGATGCATCATGATATGATTTGGGGATAGTGCTCATGCAAAATAACAGGCTTATAGCTTACTTCAACCAAGTGTTATCAGCCAGAGCTAGACTGAAGTCAGTCTAAGAGAGGGAGTTAATGGCTATCGTGTTGGCCGTTCAGAAATGGCGTCCTTACTTATTGAGTCGACATTTCATTGTCTGGACATACCAGAGGTTCCTGAAGTATCTGCTTGCGCAGAGGATGATGACCGAGGAGCATCAAAGGTGGCTGTCAAAGCTGTTGGGCTATGACCTTGAGATATAGTATAGGCCAGAATTAGAGAACAAGGCGGTTGATGCCTTGTATAGAAGCATGGGAGAGCTCCAGAAGTTAGCCATGTTGAAACCACTAATGTTGGATTGGGAGATATTAAAGAGGAGAGTGTGCATGATAAGTAGTTGGGAAAGATTAGGGCAGATCTACTGAGGGATAAGAATAGCCACCCTAACTATTACCTAGAGAGGGAGAGACTGCTGTACCATGGGAGGTTTGTGTTGCCC